GGTAGTGTGGGTGTGAGGTGTGTATAAAACAAACAGATATAATAACACCCACACCTACATGCAGCTGTATGAACTTAATGATCATTTATCGATTGATTTAGTTATTCACTAAACTGTATCATTGAACAATTCCGACGATTTTTTGTTGATTCTATGTCATTATCCTCAGCATTTTTACCGTTGATTGATAATGAAAATCAATTTTTAGTCTTATGTCAAAAATGACTCGCACAACCAACAGCGAAACAAACACACCTTCATCACACTGCAGCTAGAGTGAATATTGTCAGCCATGATCTGAGCACTCAAAATGTGCGATAGACAAATGAACCATCCATACACATGGCGTTCATAGAAAAACATTATAAATTCATAAATAATCTCTTGATTCATTGCAACTTTAGAGAAAACTCTAGATGTTTCCGTTCCAGATCCTTAACGGATTCAATCAGTATCCTACAAGAATTCGGTCTTTTTTCCCGAGGACACGACTAAATCCGGAAAGAAGTGTATAAGTCATGAAATTCAAAGATCCTGGCAGAGTTGGAAATAGGATTCAATCCGGAGGGTATGGGCGTGAAGTGCGTGTGCGTGTGGATGTGGTGTGTGTTGATGTAGGTGATGAAGAGATGACCCAAATCCACACCTACACCCATGAAAGACATCAAAAGAGAAGATACAATACAACTATAATTTGGAATCAAGTTCTTGCTGGTACACAAACACAAAATTCGTAGGACGTTCAAAAAGTATCTGGACTGATTTTATTTAACAATGATAGGAAGCGCTGGTATCTTTGTTTTATTGTCTGTATGTAGTTCATAGAGTCCTCTATACATAGACATGATAAGCTCTGTTGAATGAAACGTAGATATAAGAATATAGAAATACATTTGAGACCACTATTTATACACTGACAGAAAAAAACAAAATTTCGAGTATCACTCAATGCTAAATGTCTTGTTTTGTAAGACTATTACTCATTTAATATTTATGAAAGTATAGTGGCAGATTATAACGATCGACTAGCTATTGCTTATTGCAGCTTCTGAATAGGATCGTTGTTTTAAAGATAGATTACCACAAATGTATTGTAATCTAAATGTAAATAGCATAACCATTAAAATTTGTAGAACCGTAGTGATCGAAGAGGGTCAAAGCGCCTATGAGTAAATAGTGGACATCGTTCACATATCAAATGTACAGTATACAACATTGTATTTGATCGATTATATATGACCAAAGTCAGTTCAAGAAAAAAGCACATTCTCCTATATAATGTTAATGATGTATCGACCACATCTAACACTACTATTGATAGTTATTTATTCGCCTTTGAAACGACCAGCCCATTCAAATATTGTAGTATGTGAATAGAGCATTACCACTGTAAACTGTCACCATACATTCATAAATGTTGGATGGAAACTCGCCTTAAAAAACCTCAAACTTTGCTTAGATTTTTAATTTTTGTCAGTGTATACATAGTGGTCTCAAATGTGTTTCTATATTTTCATATATATGTGTAGTTCAACAGAGCTTATCATGTCCATGGATAGAGGAGTCCATGAACTACACACAAACAATAAAACAAAGACAGCAGCGCTTCCTATTATTATTAAATAAAATCAGTCCGGATACTTTTTGAACGACCCATGTAAACGAAAAAAATATGACAAACTAGACGAGCGAATAAAAAATATGGTACAAGATTTTCATAAAGTCTCACGTGACGACTACTTTAAAATGGTTAGATCAATGTTTAATTTTTGAATATTTGCTTAACCACTTGTCACCTATAAACTGTTCTTTACTGGTGCTCTTTTATTTATTTCTTTATAAAATGTTATTTATCTATATTCTATTCTTCATCTGTGTGCAATTGTTTTTTTCGCAAACATTTTTGCACAAATAACTAGTCATGGAGTTTGTAAGAACTATAACCGTAATAAAGAAACAAAGTAGAAAAAATGGTTTTGCGCGTTAGAGCCATGCGTGTAATGTCGTAGGCGCAAATGCGATACAACCCATTTTTCTAGTTACCATTTTTACATAGAAGAAAGAACGAAGAAAGAACGAAGAATAACACTATCCTATTTCTCCTTTCGCTTCATGAATGATGATTGCGGCATGATGTTGACGTCATACATCATTTTTGTTCTTTCTTTCCTTCGCTGACGTAAAAGTCGTCCTTTTCTCTCAGCCACGCGCACGTCACTAGCGTGTTGTGATTCTTCGACGCCTCGTCACGTCGTCATCATCATTCTTCTCTTGAAGGCAATATTGCTTCCTCTCTATAGGTGCATATATATGAAATGACATACAAGTAATCACAACAACAAAATGACTTCAGCAGGAATACGTCGTTTTCAAATTGAAGAACATCCCACTTCTCTCGATCAGAAATTCTCTATTATGGATGAAGATGATAATTGTTTGTATACTGTTAAATCGACTTTTTTTGCTCTTGGTGACAAGCTCACAGTGATGGATAGTCATGGTACTGAATTATTCAAAATTCGACAACAATTGAAACATATCCATCTTACATTTCACATATACAATGCCACTAGCAATGATGACAATGAAGACAGCAAATTGGCTAGTGTAAAACAAGTTGGCTTTCCACTAAAACATACACTAGAAATACAATCGGCCTATGGTGATTATTCGATGAAACGAAACGGAGGTATGACCTCTAGCGAGTATACATTAAGCAAAGATGATATACAAATTGCTGCAATAAAACGAAAATGTCCGGCATTTGCCGAACGCTATACGGTTGACATTGACGAACGGGTTCACGAGAGAGATATTCCATTCATATTGACTCTTGTCATTACACTTTGGTGTGCTCAACGATATCGGGGTCAAGGAAGTGGCAGTTAATAAATATTTACTTCTGAATTATGAATAGTGACTGGTTGAATCTCAACCCCATACTGTCTTAAGCAGTTTTCGTATTCGAAATTCGCTCTCTGGGTATTCAAATGCTTTTATTCTTATATTTATCTTTTCAGTTCAATAAATGTGCTCACAAAACATAACGAAAAAAGATTATCATGTTCTTTTTTTTTATGGTCATCAACTTCACACTTGGTAGTGCTTACATGATAATATGCGGAGAAATTATAATATTTAAGCATTAAGGACAACATAAATGGATGTGGTTGGATGTAGATGTAGTTCTTCACTTCTCTTCACCCACACCCACTACTGAACTGAAAAGACTTCTTATATTTATATGAAAACCTATTAGATAAGATTTTTTTCTCTAACTAACAACAAATTATTGCATAGTTTTTTTCTGAATAGATATTCTTTACTTTGAAAGATTTTCTTGATTGAAAGAGAAAGTGTTGTTATTAATTTTTCTTACATTCCTTAGAATATCAAAAAATTGTGTTCATCTGAATGTAATAGACTGTTTACATAAGAGTTTTTTGTCGATATTTCTAAACTGTATAAACAAAAAAAAGGTAATATTCAATTTTGAAAACTGAAAAGAATCAAAGATTTGATTTCGATATCAATGAAAAAGAAAATTGAGTTAGTCATAATCAATTTAATAATGATACATAGTTTCTCCATTTATTTTTATCATATTCATTTATATTATAATTAACAGATTGTAAAAGTCAAACAATATTAATTATTCTGTATTTTTTGTTATCATATAATTAGATTGTATTAATTTTTCTAATAACAGATATCAAAACATTATGATACTTTACTTCAAAAAACTTACATTTAAAATGGCTTCTCAACAATATAAATCATGTTTAAAAAAAAACAGAATAATTAATTTCAATATTATCTTCCTTATCAATATTACACTTAAATTCTTTGATGATTTAGTGTAAGATAATTTTCTTTATGAAAAATCCTATAAATTTTTAATTGAATTATGTTTTCTTTTTCTTCTCTTATTTTAATAATTGTTCGTATATTTTTAAATGACCAAACATTTGACATAATTAGTTGAAGAGAAAGAAGTATTCATCTGATAAAGTAAAAACTGTATCAAATTCAGTACCAAGAATTTGAAGTAATTAGAAGAAAACATTGACTGAAAGAGATTTCATATTTAAAATATAATCATGATTCATTTGTTTTTAGATAGAATATTCTAGAAGTCGTGACGAGACACTGAGAACTTCAGTGATCATTGACAAACCTGTTCGAAACAGTACTAAATAAGATGATCGATATTCAATTATGAAGAACTAAAAAACTTAAATTTGGTTATTACTTTACTCATAGAATTAGTCAGTATCAATTTTTTTATATTTAAAGCTTTTACAAAAAGCAAAAATAAAACGTCTTTTTTTCAAAATATTCAATAGGTTTCTGAGACATAATGTATTTTTCAGTATTTTACCAACATTTCTATTGATTAGACGCAAAGTTAGACAAAATACTTGAGTACGATTTTAGCCGTACTCGAGCATTAAGCATTCTAAACTATGAAACTGGATAAGGCCATTTTTCTCCTAAGATTTTTCGAGTCACACCGATATATTCATATTAGAATGACCAAATTTTTGTTGATCCCGTGAAGGAGTACAAATGTCTGGCTCAAAGAATCGATCACTAGAGGTTGGGAAATAAATCATTACAATATTATTAAATAACACTGCTGAATTGATTTTAGGAAAAAAAAACCTCGTTATCCGTCATCTTAGGATGGGCGTGAGTTGCTGTATTCTTTGCTGATACCCATATCCTGTCCCTCTCTAGACTCCTCCTCTAGAAATAATTCGTCTTATTCCATCGCATTTTCAAATTCGTTGAAGAAAAAAAAAAGATTCTCTTCATCCTAACTAGGATATCATACTGACTTATATTTTCAATGATAAAATCATATGATATTGTTTCTATGGTTTTATCAGAAAAATGATAGCTAACTGTAGATTCTGTAAATGTATTTGAAATTGATACTTTCAACATGTGCATGATCTTTAATTATTCTAGATAAAATAATTATTATAATAAATAATAATGAATTTGAAAAATACAAATTATCCAATCTATCTTTTTGGTCATTCTAATTTATCAATCATGTTCTAATTAATTCGATTAAAATCTTCTTTATTTAAAATTTATTGTATACTAGTTCATTAAGTTTACAAAATTCTTTTATAATAAATAATAATATCTAAATTGGTCTACATCTACCAATAAATATTACAATATTGAATTAAACTTTGATGAAATGTATCAATTAGCAATATACTACATCAGTTATATTCTGTTTTAACTAAATTATCAAAAGATAAAAGAAAAGTCTCAATGATATGAACTGTTTGATGTAGTTCAACTAAATTTTGTGTCGAATCTACCGGCGATAAGAATTCGTATGAGTGATGATGATAATAAAGAATTATTTGGAACTATTGAAAATGAGCATTGACGAAATAATTAAGATACGCAGAGAATAAAATCAAGAGATTATTTCCTATAGACATTTTCAGTTTCTTATCTGTTAATATTCCTATGCAAACTTACTCACGAATTTCAGGAATAATTTTTTTGTATTTGCTACATGTTGGACATATAACAAGAGAGAAAAAAAGGAACTTTTGTTTTTCCTATGATATATGAAAAATTTTTTTATATTTCTTTGTTTTCAGAATATATATATATGAAAGATCAGTATCTACTTCAGCACTATTGATAGTTTTTTGATAATTAAGAATTCAGGGGTCATATTTTGGTTGTCATCAGATTTAATAGTTAGTCTGATATTATATATTCAGATGAAATAATGTTTTTAGTTGCAATTTCCTACAAACTATATAATATAATGAATCGTTAGTATTCAAAACGAAACCAAATTCATTTGATTTTAAATTGAAACAGACACATTAAATTTTTCGATTTAAACTTTTGAAATCTCTTATAGTAACAACGAGTATTTTACTCTTTTAGATTCGATATACGCTAATACTCAAAATAATGAAAGAATTTTTTGTTCAATACTTTTGAATCTAGTAACTCACAATAATTAATAAGTTGTGTCTGTATTCTTTTCTTTCGAATTATTATCATACGATGCAAACATAATGGTACAAAATGTTAGTTCCTTTTTTCTCTTCAATAGAACAGTGCTGAAAACAGAACGACAAAAAATATCGATCATTATATATGTTTCATAAATATGTTCTAACAAGAAAATTTTGTTATCAGCTGATAGAATTAAAGAGTTATTCAAGAGATAGAGAAATCAATATTTTCTGTAGTTTTTCTAAATTTCACAAAAAGTGCGAATTTGTTATAAAGGTGTGTTACGGTTTCTTTCTGTCCTAGATATATATATACGATTTCACGTATGTCCTTGTTATACGTGGACAACTTTATTATGTAATCAAAGAAACAATTCTGAATACATATACGATATAGATGATATATATATATATGAAAAACGAGCAAATAAAAGAATCAAAGAGATGAAAGAGAATAGAGGTTAACAATAAATAGTGAATATGCATACATGCGACATCACAGTCACAAGGTGTCTCTCAGTGGCGTAACCAGAAATTTTTGAGTCATGGGCAATTCATCAGCCGAACTATTTTGAGTTACCGGCAGCTAAGGGCAACCGTTATGATTTCAAAAATATATATGGGCAACAGTGGCGTACGCAGAAATTTTTCAAGTGGGGCCCAATTTCGTAGGAGGGGCCGGCCATGGCACAAAAAACTTTTTATCACGTGAAAATATTTTTTCCTGTACCCCCCTCGAGGACTTTTTCGTCTCAAGGGGGGGGGGGGGCGGGCCCCCTCGGCCCCTCCCCTGCGTACGCCACTGATGGGCAATAACTGTTCAAGCACTGTATAGCTCAATAAATCCATGGGCAATTGCCCAATGGTCCCACCACTGGTGTCTCTTTTTTAAAATTTTTTTGCATCGTATTATATTTATAAATTTAAAAAAAATGCCTATTTGATTTTTCTTTTGGTATATTTGACTGTGTTCGGTTTGTTTTTGAGTGTATGTTTATTTTATGAGATGAAGATCAAGACATTTTTTCATCGTTAAATATATTTGTACAATTTTTTGTCCATTAAATGCTGACGAAACATTTCAATAATAAGAGAATAGCGACATCTATTGACTTACAGACGATTTGTCATTTGTTTGGTTCTTCATCATTCTCTATATCGAATTATCTATATTCACATCTCTTTTTTTTTTGTTGTTGTTGTTATTTTCATCGTATTGAAGCTTATCTACAATTCTATTTACTAAATGTATTATCACATTTGTTTTGTATTTCATTATCCAATCAATGAATATTTTATCATTTATATAATTTTCAAATAAAATAAAAAAAAAAAAAGAATTCGAATATTTCTTATATATTAATATTTGCTTAAAATCTATTGATTTTATTTAGTTGATATGTGAAGAAATACAAAATAAAATTTTTTTTTATCGAATTTAATATATTTTACTTATTAATTCAATATATACTCAGTAAGATTTAATTTAATTATAAACTTTTGTTTTATTTTAAGATTTTCAAAAATCTTTCTTTTTTTTTTTGTAAATTATCTATATTCTTAATTAAATTTAAAACAAATTTTTCTATAAAAAAAAAATAAAATTTCTTATTTTAGTTTAATTTATTTTCTAAATGATGCATCCAATGGATCATCATGATAATTTACAAAATAGTACAAATAATGTTATAAAACAAGACAATAATAGCAATCAATCAAGTCCAATACCATCACCACCACCATCAACTAATATACGTATCAATAGTACTTTACGAGTTATAACAGTATTAGATGATATTCGTATTGGTAAAGTTGTGGCATATGATCCTCCATCTAATTTAGTTACATTACGTAAGTTACAAAAACAAAAAAAATTGATGAAATCAATTATTGATAGTTTTTTTTGAATTCTTAGATATAAAAGGTACAAAACCAGGTTCAACATCTGTAGCTGTTATTAATCTCAATCATTGTCGAGAATATATTATTGAACAAGAACCAAAAGATGATACACTTGAACCACTTTATCCTATTGATATTAGTAAAGTAAATATTTTCAAAAAAAAAAAAAAACAAAAAAAAAAAAAAAGATCTTTAAATAGTTAAAAAAACGTCAAATGGAAAATGAAGCTGAAAAGAAAAAAGAAGCATCATTTATTAATATAAAAGCAAGTGCAAATGGTCAAGCACTTTTTCGACTTATAAAAAAAACGTAAAATTTTAAAATAATCATTTTTTTTTTAAATATTAATTTTTCTTTTATATTATTATAGAATGAATCAAGTAATTCGTTGGTCAAATAATGATATTCTTATTAATAATACAGTACGAATTGTTGAACCATATCGTGTAGAAAATGTTTCAATTGATACTCCAATACAAACGAATATAACAATTGCTAATAAAATAACAACAAAAGGTGATAATGATACTAAAACACATATTATGAAATTGGTAAAATAAATTATTAAACGAAAACTTTAATATTTTGTTTTTTTATATTAAGGTGGAAAAATTCTGGTCTGATCAAACAAAATTAGCTTCCAATACTGATTTAACACGAACTAAATCTGATAGTTTAAGTAAAACAACAATTGATTCAACAGCATCATCAATACCTTAACATATTTGTTTATTTTTATTATCTTTTGGCTATAATCTCAGATGTTCGTGTATATGTGTAATTATCATTCTTCTTTGTTCCTTATCGATTTCTGACTAATCAAGAGAATTAGTCGTTCAATTCAACAAAAAAAAATACATCTTTTATTATTCCCTCCCACTTTTTTTTTTTTTTTTTTTTTTTTTAAAATTTAAAACTTTTTTTTTTCGCCTACATATCCGAGCGTTTATTCATTTGTTGTGCAGAATAAAAAAAATAAAAATGTCTGCTGCTGTCATTCATCTGACAATGAAAGAAAAAAAGAGAATCATAATGTTATCAATATAAGATAAACACATTTTAAGCGAACCTATAAAGTATAGATAGTATTCGATGATGTAATATTGAACTTAAACGTCCATCTGTACACAATATTTACTATCGATGGTATATATAAAAATTCAAAGAGAAATTAACATAGAAATCGTATACATATATGTCTATAAAAGAAAAAAAAAAAGGAGTTTTTTTTTTCGAGTGATGTGAAAAAAAAATTAACAGAAGTCAGTTTAGTAGACATTTATAAAAAAGTAAAAGGATGACATTGATCTTGATATAATATAATAAGAAGCCATATCACTTCTTTTTTTTTCTGTCTATTTAACTGACAGAAAGAGTCGATCAGATTTAAAATATAAAATTATACTTCTAATCAAATGCATCTAAGATCAATCGTAATCGTAAGAGACAGGTAAATGATGAATAAGAACGTAAAAGAATCAATCTCGTTTTTTTCTTTTTTTTTTTCTATGACATTGAAGTAATAGAATCATGGTGATCAATCATATACTATTGATATAACTTGTATAGAGTTAAAAATTGATCAATTTCAAATTACTATTAATCTTTTTTTTTGTCATAATAGGAATAAAATTTTTTTAGAAAAAAAAAAAAAAATAATCGAATATCAATATTATCAATGTTGAATATTAATTTAATTAAATATAATTATAATACAAATGAACATATTTCATATAATGATTCATTTACTTCAAAACAAATATTAATGGTGAGAATATATAGAATATTAATAAAGCTATTATTATCTATTTTGAAATAATAAAGAAAAAACAAAACAAATCTAATAGATAATATTATTCTATTTATGAAGAAAAATATTATCTTTTGTTTGGACTAAATTAAGATGTCATAGAAGACAGGATGTACAAAAAAACCAATCCATCATGTATATTCATAATAAGATAAGAGAACAAAAGCAAAAACACTAAATATATCATTTAGAGAAAAAAAAACACAAGAATTTACTCTTCGTCTAAGTAGTTTAATTTTATGTCAATTATTTTTTATATTCAAAACAACAATTTTTCTAATATATATGTTCTATGTATATATTTTTGGTTATAAGTAACTATATATATATCAATATTTGTCTTATTGATTTTTATTCCTTTACCATATTATGATATTCTCTGCATTGATTTGTTCAAGTAAGATATAAAAATATATGGATAGGATAATGTATATCTCAAGATCATTAACTACTAATGATAGCTTAGGAGATAGATGATGATCATCATCATTAACATATTTCAAGGGAAAAATTCTGGATAAGATCGATTGATTTTTTCTTTTGTTTTCCAGAGATTTATTATTAACAGATCCAAGAATGAAATCTCATATGGAATTTATTATTAAATGAAATCTATAATAGTAGATCATTTTAATATGATAATTATTTTTTTTTTTTTTTTTTAGAATTCAAAATATTTCACAAATAAAATTCATCGATTAGAAAATGAACAAAATTCTCCAATACAATTCTTAATTCAACAATTAAAAAATGAACATAATATAATGAATCAATCTAAACACTTACAACAACAAAATTCAACAATGAATTATACAACTAAAAATCATCATCACTATGTATGTATTAATATAAAGTTACTCCACAAAAAGAAAAAAAGAAGAGTTAGCGCTTTTTTGCATACACATTCGTACATATTGATACATGTTCGAGATTACATCCTTAGGGAATAAAATCATTAATGTCGACAACATAATATAAATAGACATATGAAGGTGTCAGAAAGAAAAAAAAAAAAAAAGATGAAATACGAAAATAATATTCATACAAAACGAAAAAAAAAAAAGAACGGAAGAAAAGAACAGATTCGATCGTTAGTCTATGTACTTTCGTATTTTTTATCATAAGCCATATTTAATTCATTAAAATAATTCGTTTCTATCAACAAAAAAAAAAAAACGAATAAAACAATCAAAATATTTGAACGTATGCCATTAAATAGAACAAATCTCAATCTTTATGTATAGATTAGAATATAAATATATTTATGTCGTCAAAGGTTAGTTTAGATATTTTTAATTAAATAATTATTCTAGATAATATATATATATTTATAAAATATTGACACAAAAAAAAAATGAATATTATGTATTTTTAGGATCAACAAGAAACATTACTTAATTCACTTGATTTTTTAAATGAAATAAATCATTTTAAAATTCGTCTAGAAACATTAGAAAAAGAACGTTATGAACTTGAAGAAAAAGTTCGACGACTTCAAGTTTGTTTTTTTTTTTTGTAATTTTTAGAAAAATAATTTTTTTTTTGTTTTTCAAGGCAGAAAATATAACTTATAAAAATCGTTTAATTAATGAAAATAATCCATGGATAATAACATCTCGAACAGCATCATCATTCAATGAACATACAAATCTATCGACATTTGCTGGTAATAAATGTTTTATGATGTAATACTTCTTTTTGTATACATAGAAGGCGTGCCAACGAGTTTGCTTCTATTTGATCAATATCTTTAAAACAAGGTCAAAGGTTCCCCTATGAGAATAAATCGAACAACGGGAAGATACATAATGATGATGTTCTACTACGTTCTATTGCTCTTTTTTCTCTATATATATTGATATCTTCTTTTCCTTCCATCTCTTTCTATCCTTCATCTTATCATGTCTATATACGAGATCGTACATTTCATCAAACAATTATCTTTTGCTTGATCGATTGTCTGACTAAAAACTATTATCTAGAAATTCAATGTCGTCTTATATGGATGTTGAACAATGTCTCTTTGTTTATCCATATATGACTACTACTGCACTTCTTTCAAGATATTCATCACAACATTCTAATCGACGTGGTAAGTATCACAAAACAAAACCGCAACCTTTTTTTTCTTTTACAAATGATAATTATATATAGAACAGTACTTGTCAAAAGGTAGAACTCATTCACCTTAAATCAAAATCATTATAAAAATTAAAAGATTTACAATTTGAATATGAATATATTTTACAATAAATACTGTTTAATAATATCATTTGTGATAAAATTATTTTTGAGGTAGAACCGAGTCATATTCATATCTTTTCTGAATCTTATTATTGAAGAATAGAAAGACTGTTTCACATGATTGTATAGTTCTTTATTTCAGTTATCTATCATAGTTGTATAAGAAAATCATTATGTGAAACTTATCATTTATTGAGAGTTTAACAAATCTATTTTCAAGGTTTTAGAAGGAAACATTATTATTACAAAGAAATGACATGTTAATGACCATTGGGTTATTATCAAGACTTTAGGGAATTAAAATTACTAAAATAGAATATAACTGATGTCATTATGATAATATAGGATGAAGGAAAAAAAAAAAATTTTTTTTTTTTTTTTGTCCAACATTTCATAACTTCTCGAGAACATCTAAAGTCTAGTACTTATAAAGCTGTGAACAATTACTTTATAGCACATCATATATTACACAATTCATATATCAATATTCTTTTTTTTCTTTGATGATATATATATTATGTCAGATAGCAGCGCTATTAATTTGATTATGATACATTTGGACATATTGATGATAGGCTTTATTACAAATATCATTAATTTCTAGGACGAATCTGTCTTTTAATAACGTTAACAGCTGAATTTTTATGTTTTCTACAGATTGAGTATAAGGTAAATCAAATTTTTGCCAGTGACATCATTTTCATATTGTTACTGAATACATATAAAAACAAAAAAGAATACCTATGAAATTTTTACTCTGTATTTCATCAAATACAAAAGTAATTGTCAAACAAAAAAATGAAACCTAACATATGAGATCTTTCTTTACTTCGACTACCATAGAAATTTATATTCTACCTCGACTTAAGAAGAAAAAAAACAAAAAAAAGAAAATCGTTTAATTTTACTATAGAAAAAAAACGAAAAGAAAATTAAAATGAAGTATTATACAAAGCTAAATTCAATTATTTAACTCTTATCAAAGTGAAGGAAGTCGAATCGAATCTGAAAATTTTTTATCGGACAAGCTTTTTCAGGTATCATTGAATAAATAGACAATACTTTTTTTTTTTTTTTTGTATTCATCTGTCATTAATATTTATTATCTTGACATTGTTGATAGATATAGGTAATTCTTATCTATTTTTCATAGAAAATGATATCGAACGATTAAAACAACGTATTGAAACTCTTGTAAAATCAAATGATGAAAAAGTATTTTATATTATTAATTATTATTAATAATATATTATTTAATTAATATAGGAAAGAAAAATAGAAGATTTACAAACTCAATTAGCTAAATATCATCCAATTACAATAACACAGATACCATCAATTAACACAAAAACAATTGATAATTCTGGTATTTTATAAAAAATTTTGATATATTTTCAATATATATATATTTAGTAAATAATCATAATATTCAAAAATGTTCTTATGATGCAGACGGTGATATATCAGATTCAAATTCATTACCATCTCTTAATAGTGATAAGGATTCCAAAGTAAATAAATTGATAATAAAAATAAAAGAAAAGACCTTCTTTCGTTCTCTCTAATATATTCGATTAGTTATCTCAAAAACCTTTATCATCTCATAATGAACATGATTTATTTACAAATTCATATCAAAATCCATTAAGTAAACTAAAACTTGACGCATTATATCGTGTAAGCAAAATTTTGAAATTTCAATTTCAAAAAATTTTATTCATTTATTAGGCTTCAAGTGCGGAACCAATGTTAATTCGAGAATTTACAAATGTATGTTAATTAATCATTCTAATACATTTCTTTTTTTTAAAAATTCTCTTCAATTTAGACTCCTATTCATGATATATCAACTAAAAAACGAACACTTACATTAAACAATCGAACAAATTATAAATGTAGATAAGAAGAAAAAAAAACATGAAGTACAATTTATTTTTATTTTTTTTTAGATGATCAAAGTGGTTATGTATCAGATGGACCAAGTCGAAAATATTCAATATATAAAAAAACTTTAACAAGTAATTTAGATAAAAATAAATCATCAAGTGTTAAAGGATTAAAAAATATATTTGGAAAAATTATTCGAACAAATTCAGGACATTTTAAAGAAGATGATGAACAAAAATTATTAACTTCATTTCAACGTCAAGATTTAATAACTACAATTAATTATGAAAAAAATTTATCAAAACAACTTAGGTAAAAGATAAATAAAACATCTAATGCTAAATACTCCCACAGATTTCATATTAAAAAATCTTCCTAAATTTAATTACTTATCTTAAATCAGGATATCATATGTATGTTTTTATAAAACTATCGGCAGTGCATCGAATCGTATATAAGAGTCATTTATAACAGTTCGAAAGTAGATGGTGTAAGCTGAAAAGTCAAACAGCGGCGACGTGACGTATTCAGGATTTTTCAGTATGCTGAATCTCGATTTCCGAGCACGGGACCCAGATGAAACTCATGGAGGGTGATGTTGGATCCAAATAATGGAATTTTATCAAAAAAAATTT